CCCTAGCCCCAGGGACGGGAGCTGGCTCCTTGCTAAGAGAAGTGATGACTTAGAGCTCCAAGTTCATACTCTTTCTTGCGGGGGAGCGGATGAAGTGTATTCCCACCCTGCTTCATGCCTGTCTGTGGCGTGAGCTTGGCTGAAGCATGTGGCTTCGTCTTGCATCTATAGCAGTAGCCATGTCAATAGGTGGGTACTTCTGATGTCTTGTTGGGAAACTGCATGCCCAAGCGGGCTCTTCTGAAATGCTGGGGCTGCCCCAGGCCATGCTGCCTTTGGCTTAATAAATGGTGTCCTCTTAGAATTGGAGTCCAGGGGGTGTTGTCTTGGGGGAGGTACTTGGAAAGGGGGCGTCACCCAAAACCAGCTGTTGCAGTACCTGTGTGGTGGGAGTAGGGGGCTGAAGTCAAGCACAGGGAAGACTGGCCTGTAGGGGGCATTTCCCTCCATGAGCTCAGTCTGTCCACTCCATGAAGTGGCTGGTGCTTAATGAATTAGCCCTTTGCTGATTGGCACACACTGCCCTGCTCCAGGAGGGGAAGGGGTGATGGGTGTATCACAGCCTGGCCTGGAGCCACATCTCCTCACTGCTTTGACTCCAGTGGGCTAGTCACTCATTAGTGCTAATTAAATGGGCTCAGGTCTCAACCCCTTTCCCCCCTCCCTGTAATGCTGCCATGTCTTGCTTGGTTGAAGCTACAGCCTGTGCCAGCAGCCGGAAGAGCTGCTTCCGGCAGGTAATAGCTAGTGCCATGGTGTGTCTCCATTAATCCAGGAACATCCAGTCTCCCTGCTGCCCCATGACCCCCATCAGCTTGGTCCTGGGCTCTGCTCAGCTCTGGCCTTTCCCTTGGATGATGGAGTATTTGCCTGGTCCCCCCTCGGCTGGTCTGTGCTCCAGGAAGCCGCCCTTGTCTGGTTGGACTCATGTCAGTGTACACCACATGCAGGCAGCACCTCGCCCTGTTTCATGATCTCATAGCCTGCCTGCTGCATGGGGTATAGGGGACAACCCTCCAGCAGCTCAACAGGGCCTGTGCAGCTGGGCTAGCAGCTCCTCAGGGCACAGTGGGCAGGTTGCTCGCCTGGTACATTGGACTGGAACAATCTGGCAACGGAGAGGACTTGTGCCTGGCCTCAGTGCTTCCTAGCCACCACCCTCAGTTCAAATGACACCAAGCTAGGAAAGCCCCATGGGAAGGCCCTTGCTCCACACCCTCACTCTCAGGGGACTGGCCTCTTAAGCAAAGCGAATCCAACAGCCCTCATGACTCAACAGGTGCAGCCAGCAGCAGCCCGTTGCTCAGGACTGTACCGAGGGCAGAGAAGGGAGAAGCTCTACCCAGGGCTGGAATAAACTGCACCCCACAGTGAGGTGCAGTGGGAGCTTGTCAGCAGGACGGGACAGGGCCACGGAGTTCTGACAACCAGGAGTCCCGAGAGGGGCCAGGTAGCAAGGATCTATCTGTGCCAGGTGAGGAGCACCCTGGCAGCCCAGAGAGGAGCCCCTGGTAGAATGAGGTGCAGAAAAGGGAGGAAGAACTGACAAGTCCTTTCACCCAATGGGCCGCAGCGCACTGGTGGCCCAGGCCATGCCAGGGGCTGGTGCTGCGCTTAGAGAATCCATTCGCAGAGCTGCTGGAGCAGGGGTGGGCAGCCCCAGCGCCCCTCAGCCAAGCTCCGACAGACACAGATCTTTCACCATGCTACCCCCTCCCTCCCATCTGCTGCCAGCTTCCTGCTACAGAGAAGCCTGTGCGCTCCAGCCAGGGCCTTGCCCCAGCTCAGCTGTTGCTCCCTGGGCTGGGGGTGGCAGGTGGGTGCAGCCCCCGTGCCTCACTGGAAACTCTGCTGCTCAGGGCAGCGGCTGCCCTGTCCTCTCTTGCTGTGGCCCAGGGCGCCAGTGAGACCAGTGCACAGTGCGAGGCACAGGCCAGGGCTGAAGCATCATCGAATCACTGTGTGCCTCAGTGTCCCCCTCTGTGCAACAGGGAATCTGGACACTCCCTGACCCCTCCACTTCCTGGAGGAGGGACGATTCATTCCCCAGGCCCTGAGACAAGCTGGTCAGAGAGGAACCTCTTGCTGTGGCCCAGGGCGCCAGTGAGACCAGTGCACAGTGCGAGGCACAGGCCAGGGCTGAAGCATCATCGAATCACTGTGTGCCTCAGTGTCCCCCTCTGTGCAACAGGGAATCTGGACACTCCCTGACCCCTCCACTTCCTGGAGGAGGGACGATTCATTCCCCAGGCCCTGAGACAAGCTGGTCAGAGAGGAACCTCTGGGGGGTGGGGTTAGTGAGAGAGGGGCCAGC